TATATGTAAGTATATATGCATATATACACATATGTATGCATATGTACATATGTACATATATATATATATATATATATATATATATATATATATATATATATATATATATATATATATATATATATATATATATATATATAAATATATATAATTGTATATATACATAAATATGTATATATATATGTATTATATGTATGTATTATATATATATATATATATATATATATATATATATATATATATATATATATATATATATATATATATATATATGTATATATATGTGTGTATATATGTATGTGTATATATATATATATATATATATATATATATATATATATATATATATATATATATATATATACATACATATACATATATAATCCCTTCAAAATCTTAAACGGGAACAAAGGCCGGAAGCAGAGAGGAGAGGAGACAAGGAGGGTCAACAATGGACAGGTAACAAGCAGAACCACGAGGCGAGCAGGAACCACCAGCGCAACAATGGCGGGTCGCGCGCACTCACGCCCGCACGAACGCATCGCGATTCTCACACAGACAAGCACTCGTCACTCGCTGGCCGCTCATCACCTCTGGTCATGTCAGTTCACGTTCATGTCTCTCTGAGAAAGGGGGAGGGGGGGACGAGTCTGAGTAAGAGGGTTGACAGTCTTTGTGAATGCAATTGTGATGATCGCAGTAAAAGCACACTGGTTTCTCTCCTAATATAACCTGCGCGACATATTTATCCATCTTTGCTCTCGGTATGATGTAAGGGTGAGCGCACCTGCGGGAGGTACCAGACTAAACACCGGGAGTGATTTCTAGGGTGTTTGTTGCAGCCTTAGGTGCTCAAGCGCGGAGGGCCACTAGAAAAGCTGCCTCTACTCCATTAAAAGAACCACTGCCCTATAACAGCCAGGAGATTCTTGCAATAAGAAAGACGCCGTAAATCTAACTGTACCGTCGTCGCCCGCAACCTCACGTCACTTCGCGACGACAATGAAAGGGGATTTTTACACCGGAATGTCAACTGCAATCGGGGTTGAGTGTGGAAGACGGAGCAAAGTACACGATCTGCCGCGGCGTGTGAGGGAAGCGTCAAGGTGAAGAGCGCTACTGGGACAAGGTTCACCCCCTCCCCCCCACGACTACTTAGAACCCTGCAACATAACACTTTTCGATAAACACACGAAAAACTCTTGTCTGAACTTTGGCATCACTCAAAAAGCATAGCCTCCCTTGTGAGATGCCTTGCTGCGATACGCATTTCATCCCCCGCTGAAATAACTAGCAACAACAGCCACTAATTAGCGCTTAATGTCATGTTTAAGTGGCTCTTGTTGTGACCTGAACCTTCCCTGACCTCACCTTCCCCACTACACTCCCACTCGCTTCCGCAGTATCTCTACAATAAAACACCTTCTGGATACCCAAGTATAGCTACTCATGACTAATTCCCCCGGCGAGTGACTCTTAACATTTTCAAAGACGCGTCCATGAGCACTCGTGACAGTGGCAACTCACCCTAATAACCCGCCGCCCCTACCCATGAACCTCGCCTCCCTGAGGAACCCTGCGCGAGAGGGCTTCAGAACGTACACTCCGACGATCGAGTTTCTTTGTACTCCAGTTTCGATTTCCACGTATTGAGTACCAAATGTAAATACCCTAATAATACATCTATAATTCGTATCGACACTAGCACGCAAACCCAAACAATAAATAGATACCGAGGAAATACACAGTACACACACAAGAAGACAATACCGTAACACTATGAAAAGGTCAACTCACTCTCCCGACATGTAACGTTCTGTCCACCTGAGATGAACTTCCCCGTGAGATGAGAACAGGACGAGACAACGCAAATCGTGTTCTAATCACCTTTGTTGTCGTGTTCTTCCTGAAGGCTCTTGGTACACGAGGGAATTCCACGCACACAGATGTAACCAAATACTTGAGAGTAACTGTTTGAAAAAGAGCCTCGCGTCAGTTCTTGATTCCCGTGGAAACCAGTGCGACCTGCCTCCAAGGGGATGGGTGAGTGAGTGAGTGTTGAGTGTGTGCGTCTGTGTGTGAGTGTGTGTGGACGTGCGTGCGTCTGTGCGTCCCAACCGCCCGTCAACCAGCTGATCGGCCACCACTGACCGCATATCGTGTCGTAAACGATCGCTCAGGCAAAATTCCCTTAATTCCTTTCTTTATAACTGAACGGTCTTTTCCCATCTCTTATCTCCAGATTATAGGCTCCGAACGCACCGATAAAGTACACGATAATAACACGTGAACTTAATCAGCAATAACGGCAGTAATCATTGACAAATTCACCTGCTTACACAAAAATGAACGAAACCTTAAGAACAGAGATTGACCGCGGAGCGTGGACGAGAGACACACAGAAGACTACCTGGGGGAAAATCACCTTAGCTTCAACCTCCCCATTCAGTGGTAAAATAATTCCCTATTTAGCCCTACTTTGACCTTAAATACAAAGGAA